CAAAAAATGAGCAATGTATAGTTGTACAAAAGGAGTGAGTCCATGATTATTCACTGAGTGAGTACTTTGAGCGACCTGATTAAACTGTGAATTGCTAGATACTACAGTATTTGTATCGAAAAGTGTTAACAAGAATTCATAGAAATCATCAAAAGAACTAATAGATCGGCGGTTTTTAATATACTTTCGCTTAGTTTCACCCTAAACTAGAAGTGGTACAGCTTTAAGTTGAAGTTTCACAAATAAATCTATCAAATAGATTATCTTCGTCACCTTCTTCTTTATTATGATTTGCATGAACTGATTGATTGTCATCGATATTTAACTGTTCTAATGATTCTTGTTTACGACTAAGTGAAATTTTTTTACTGTCATCGGAGCCAAGATGTTTATCTGTAGTAGTATTAGTATTGGTAATAGATGTGTTTTCATTAATACAAGACTGAACTTTAACTGATGTTAATGATCTAGCTGGTCGATTTGGTGTCGGAATGATCGCTATACGGCGTGCTACTTAGAAAAAGAACTATATTGAACCTCTGGATTAGCTGTCGATGTTAATACTGGCATTGTTGAAGTTGTCGGTAAATTTAATGAATCTAATGATGTAGATTGATACATGTTTTTTATTTTTATTTTTTATTTATAGCAATGTATTAGAATACAGAGAAATGAATATAAATCAAAGTGACAGGAAGGGAAAAGTATATATAGATAAGTATTTTCTTTTCTCTCTCTCTCTCTCTATATATATATAGAACGACGACTAAATAAGTATATTTTTTTCTGTTTGTATGTATGTAGAAAAACTAAATAATTATCTATATCTGTATATAATAGTGAAAAAAATTGGATGTTGGTATTCAACGCGAGAAAAAAACATCTGTTTTTTAAATTTAATTTTAACTTCTCCATCAATTGTTAGCTCTATGTTTGGGGATGACACTATGGAGCTATGCTATACTATGTATATATATTAGCACACATACATGAATGAATATGCAGCCGAATAGATGAATATATATATATGTATATAATAAACACCTGTATTGTAATGCAAGCAATAACAGTACAACTACACGTAACAAGAAGTACGACCAGAACGAATAATGAAAACAAAGGATGACGAGAATAGAATGAAGAAGAGGGATGTGTGTGAGTGGAACAACATGTATATATAGTGTACACGATACACACATCGATCACGCACTGATCACACAAGTGGTCACCCAACAAATGACGTCATGTCATAATCATATACTAGCTTAGCGTTAGTGTATATTCACTGACGCTAACAGAAATTGAGTAAGAATAAAAGAATATTGCATATTTATCTCTTATGTCTAATAGTTTGAAAAAGTTGAAAAATGTTATCTAAAATGATCTCTTGTGATTTCTAGCATTAGAAATCAGTTGGTCCCCCTTGGTCTGCTCTAACAATGCTGAAAAGTGGAAAGAAGCAATCAGCACCTGTCCGTCATTCATGAAAAATTATATATGCAAGCCAACGGCGGCGGAGCGATTTCAATCTAGGCGAGGCTCAAAATTTTTTTCAGAGGGCGAGAATGATGAGAGGTGAAATTAAAAACAAAAAAAATCTAGTACTAATAAGTGGTCTGCTGATAATTTATTTCTGATTCTACTTTTCTCAAAGCTTGTAAAATAATGAAAAATATTACTGTAATATTTATTTTTCAGAAAATGATCAATAAGAACACAAAAATCTTAAAACGGCCTGGCCATGTATCGGTCACCCTTGCACGGGAAGGTTCGAATTTTTTCTCGAATCAATCAAATGTGGGAAATACTTAATTTCACGCAGTTTTTTGCGCTGATTACGAACCTCTGCTCAAAAATAATTTATGGCCACATTATCATGATGAGAATCCAAATTTTAAAATGTTTCTCGTTTAAATTTGATTTCTGGCTTATGAATTTTTCTTAGAAATCCTGAAAACTACCTTATTGGATAGAGAATTGAATTCTCTACAAATCCCAATCGTTGCTCCTTTCTTTGGGTGAAAATGTTATTTTTGATATTTTGAAAAAATATTTAGACTGCTTTGTTGCCAGAAGTTTTATACTCGGTTAATCTAATTTTGAAACATTATTTTTAACGGTATCAGCTAGAAGAAACCTCAAACTACTAAACTATGTGCAAACCATAAAGTTTTGAGCGAAAATATCAGTGAAAAAATAACCACGAAACTGTCCCCAGAAAATCCTGAAAAAATGGAAAATTCCGCATCGGTCACTAACTGTTTCCTTTCGCTGCCCAGGAAGTAGTCCAAGAACAAGTCTAGCACATTTTCTGTAGCTCCAACTGTGGGGTCTAATTTGGTAATTGCACGATCATTTCGAAAGTAATCTGAGACAGAATAATTCGCAATTTCGACATACACCCGAAAAACATTTCCATATGTTGAAGTTCCGCAACGCTCGGTATTTTCTGAATAACTCTGCTGTGGTTGAAAGAAAATCAATGCAATTTTTACTGATAATAGTTCTCAAGGATCTCTATCTATGGTGAAAATTTCAGACAATTTGCTTTTAATAGTGAGAAATTACAAACATCGCAATGTGAAAAAATGAAATTCCGCAACGCATGGCCACGCCGAAGATGAAATTTCAGGAGAGTGGAGCAAACAAAAATAAAGATAAAAAACACTAAATAAAACCAAAAAGAAACATTTTCTACTGATCACCCTAACATACATTTTAAAAATTCATGTGATACTTGTCACCAATCAAGATTCTGTGTTGTATTTTTCTTTTATTAGTAGTTTCTTTTATCATTTTGTTAATCTTCATGAGCAATAGAGTAAGTATTAAAGAACAATCTTTTGCCAATCGTGTCTACATTAAAGATGAGATGTACAACTTTTTTCAAATTAAATGAGCATCCCCAAGCCTAATGGGTCCGACGCCTATGATGCAAGCACATTATTGGTATGTTTATTAGATTAAAATATTGGAAACCTCCACCTGAGAAAAAAAACAAGTGGAGATTGGTACAAAAGAAAAAGAGGCAAACCATTGAAAGAAAAAAAGAGGTTCATGGGTCCAGTAATCACTTATATGTGTTTTTTTTCTTGGCAACTGTAAATAAAAATAATGTAGTTTTTCTCTTTTTGGTTGTTGCTCATTTAATATTATAAAATTGTTCAAATTAAGTTTTCTTATTGCTCGATAGTTATACTGCTAAATCATATTTATCTTATTGCTCATTCCAAAAATTTTATCGCTGACATAAATACAAGCCAATATCTTTTATTATACTCTATAAATTATTCTGTAACATTAGTAGGAATATTAACTAGAAGAGAAAACATAAGAATAAAAGGAGTTTTCTCTCTTCTTTATCGCGTTGAACTGAGGGCATTATTAGAAAAGAACTACTCTCTCTCTCTCGAGTATAGCTAGTATACGAAATAATTTCGAAAGTATTCTATAGAAAGAAAATTCTCTTTTATGGCGGTAATAAGTCTATATGTAAGGAGAAAACTCGATAAAAATGAATGAAAAAGTTATATTAAAAGAATTACACTATAATAATTGTATGATCAATCACACATATAGCATATAGATCTCTCGCGCAAGCGTATTTAAATTCTATATTTTGTAGGAATATATAATTACATTATTGTCTTGTGTTAATACAAGCAGACATTAAAAAACGTGCGATTTTTTAGGTCCTCAGCAACGATTGGATGTCTATTTTCAACTCCTCAAGAAAGTTAGTTTACATCCATCGTCATTCAATCGGAGTTTCAAGTGATGCGAATTCTATTTTGTTTCTTTTGTGAAAATATTAAAATTATTTGTTAAATGAACTTGCCAATTTTGTATCCACAGACACACGTAATATACACTGTAATTTTTTTTTTAAATTCTATAAATTGGAAATCGATCTCAAATAAACTGAAGTATTCTTAAAGCTTGACTGATTTTAATTTCAAAAGAAATCATTTTCTATAAAGTGGAAAATCGATCGATAATTTTTAAAAACGAAAAAAATGATTCTATTTCTTCCAAGACTGAGCCATTGTCCTGTCTTAAGTATATCGGGTGTTGAAAAAGTTTTGCGACATCTTGAAAAACTTATTTCTGGTACTGTCTTGTTGAGACATCTAGTTTAGTTTAAGTGATTTCACTAGACTGTAGTGTCCCTCATCGATCTTACAAATACTTATTTTGTTAAGAAGGTTGAGATATAAGACATGATTCATTCTCTTCTTTTATTTTACTTGAATTTATTTAAAATTTAAATCAATTTAATTTGATTTGATCTCATAGTTTATTAATTTAAATAAAAAATTTGTAAATTATGCCGTTTCGTATCTCGATAAGATACTTCTTGAGAGTGGGGGTGTGGATGATATCCTAGCTGATACTCACACTCCACCCACACACCCTCACCCTCAAGATGGATCATAGTTCGTTTTTGTTTATTCTGTTTTTCAATATTTTTCATCAATATTGTTCGCTAGGGTGTGCGTGTGGGTGTGAGTATCAGCTAAGATATCACCCACACCCACACCCTCAAGATCTCGAAGTATGCAAGTGTACATGTTGAATGAAGTATACTTATGGGGAGTGGGAGAAGGACGTGGCCCAGGTGGTAGTGGCGATTGAACTAAAACAAACGTCTATTTTATTTATCTGAAAGGATCGAGCATTCTATAGCAATTATTTCAAAATTTCTATCAGTTCTCATAATTGTACGAAAGAGTACTTCGGTAACAAGTAACATAGAGCTACTGAGTGAATAGATGAAGAGTAGAAAATTACTTAATTATGAATTTAGATTGTAGTTTACAACTGGTGTTGAAAGAATAAACAACGTGTTTCGTCAAAAGTAGGTGGTGCAGAGGTTGCAATAATCTTTCTTGATATGGGGTACATCAACAAAACATTTCTTTGGTATTGGTTGCGAAGAGAACAGTATGTACTTTATTTCGGAGAAAACCTATGATAAGATTACATCATACCCTGTTTGCTAGTTGCGCCAGCGCCACTACTCGCCGTTGTTATTGTTGTTGTAGCACCTGTTATCGAAAAACAAAAATTTTTATTATATAGACGATTTCGTTTTTTAATTCTTTCCACTCTCAAGAAAAACATCAGTCACATATCGACATCGAAACATATATAGCTACTGAGTGAACAAGTTTAGGGTAAGAAATGACTTAACCCTAGGTTGGCGTTGTGAGGTCCACGTAGACCCATCTAACAATTTTCCCACTACTAATTATCCACTCTTTATTGTTTTGGATTATTTCATTTCCCCAAGCTCTAATCCTTAGTTGACCCATAATATCCTCACGAGATGTCAGAAATACCTCTACGGAGGGAGGAATACAGTGGTGGATCCGCGCGGACCCAAGAACATCCATTGTGTTATAAGTATGATCTTTTGTCTTACTAAAGCTGCCATCTATTTTCTTTCAATTGTTTTCCAAACAGATGTGTTATGATTTATTTCCACATTCATTTATAGTGCTAATGATTCATCCATTCTTCGTATAAAGTGAAATTCGAACTCATAACTATTTCCAAAATCAGCAATATATTTCTGTCTACTGCTACTTGCCTACTTATTGTGATTGCTTGAATCTGTTATTAACTCTTCTAAACATGTGAGAAAATTAAACTATATCATGCATTGCCACTTTTTCTGTTATTATATAGCATGAGCGCAATACCTAAGTCAAATTTAAAACGAATTCGAGATATTCTATTAACAGATGAAAATAGAATTAATAATGATGTTAATGATAATCAAGGTTCTGATTCAGACAGTGAATCTGATTTTCTTGCAACTGAATCAGATGATACATCTAATAGTGAACATATATCAGAAGAATCTGATTTATCAAATTCTGATTTTGAACATGGTGATGTTGTTACAGTTAGTCAACCAGAAACATTAAAAAAGGACGGTGTCACATGGTCTATGTATCCAAACTTTTCTTCGCACCTCTATTCATTATGTATATCGGTATACGAGCTTATTTCTACTATTCTATTGAAAAAATGCATGAATTACCCTTTTTCGATATTGTTCTCTTTTGAATATTCTTTATTGAACGTAACACACCTATTTGTGAGTGGCGTAATTAGAGGGTTGTAGTACATAAATAACTAGATGATTCAAAACAAAAGTATCGATTTGCTACAATTTTTTATGGGTGGGTCCACTTGGACCCCACAACATCCATAGTTTCAAAGTGGCAACGTCTACGAAGGGTTAATATTATAAAATTGTTTAAATTAAGTTTTCTTATTGCTCGATAGTTATACTGCTAAATCATATTTATCTTATTGTTCATTCGAAAACTTTTATCGCCGACCTAAATACAAGCCAATATCTTTTATTATACTTTATAAATTATTCTGTGACATTAACAGGAATAGTAACTAGAAGTGAAAGAGTAACAATAAAAGGAGATATCTCTTTCTCTCTCGAGTATAGGTAGTATATGAAATAATTTCGAAAGTATCGAGCAAAATTCTTTGAATAGATCGTTCTCTCTCCCAAGCGTATTTAAATTCTATATTTTTGTAGAAAGTCAAACTTTAAATAATTAAATTTAGTTAACCCAAGCAGACATTAAAAAGTCATTCAATCGAAATTTCAAGTGATGAACTCTATCTATTTTTTCTTTTGTGAAAATTATATAAGACTGATCTAAATCTGTTTAAAAAAAACATACTAGTTGATTCTCCATGACGAGACGAATCGAATGGTATATTTTTCAAATCAATATTCAATCGATTTAGTAAAAATAATGAGCTTATTCTAAAATTTAATGCAATTTTCCATAATCGGCAGAATTAGGAAAAAAAATTACATGGAGCGGCTGAATTAGGAACACACGAAAAATCTATTAAATCTGACCCTGCCCTTGTTTCCACGCTTCTTCTTAATGACTGATAAAGTATTTTTTAACTAATTTTATATCAATCGATAGAGAAATGTTTGCTCTATTCCACAAAGAAAAAAATATTACTCCACGATGAATATGACTCGAATCATAAGTGAAATACTAAAGATGTTTTGTTTCCGGCAGAATTAGGGCACCAGACTCTATAGTGAAAATTTTTCTCATTACTAGGACCGATTTGGGCTCTGTGACTGGTGCAGTTGGCTCAGGCGCATCAAGAATATAGGTTAGCACCGAATTCATCAAAATTCTGTTGGTTTTAGCAGACTTCAAAAATATTCAGTCGTTTTGATACGCTAAAACATAATGCACTAAGATCCGAAAAAATCGGCGGCGTATCGTTGGTAGAGCGCACAGTAAACCAAACGGTCAACTGGCGGTTGTTTCACGGTTCGAATCACATGGGGAGAAATTCAATCCCCGTGAAAATTATTCCACGGGTCTCCATTGATTTCATATAAGATCAATAATACTTATACACTAGTCACTCAAATAACAGTTTACCATAACATACTGGGTATACATACGAATAAATCGTTGAATCCTCAACACTCATCTGTCACTGAAAATAAAATTGATCCGCTAGGTTAAACCAGAGAAGAAATTTTCAAACGTTTTATCGTAAACTTATGTGTGGTAGACTGTACATATTTGTGTTTCCCTTGCTCTAAAGCATCTGCACATATGTCGTTTGTTAATATTCGATAATCTAGTAAAATGGCGTCTTGTATACACGGTAAAACACATCTAAACAGTCGGTAGTAAAAACTTTCTCAAGTCGAATTCCTGCACTCAGCCACGTGCACTCTAAAAAGTAGGATGCAGCAAAAAACGAAAAAAAACGTTTAGTACTTTGCAACAATTGAGAATTCTTGGAAGTATGCAGAAGAATATCAATAAACCATTTCAGAAATGCTTTGAAATATCTTAACAGATCTCGTTAAAAACCCATCTAACAGATATTTTATATCGTTTATTCGAGGGTGTGCGTGTGCGTGGATTTTTCGTCGTTAAAGGAAGAAAAACGCGAGCACCGAGGCACACAGGTCCACACCGACAGTCTCACTCTTGAGTAAATCCTGGTAGGATCCTGAATTCTTATCTTATAATATTATCTGGGTAGGAACTAGAATATATCCAGAACAGGATTCTACCAGGATTTACTCAAGACCATATAGAGGATCCTCTCGAGATAATGAAGACAAGACTTTATCCAGTTTCCTTAAAGATTTCGGTCAAATGTTTGTATCAGAACCCTGCCAGGATTAATGATCACATCAGACGAGGATATTAGCAAGAGATTAACAACATCAGCCGGAATACCAAACTAGCTAATGCTATAAAGCTTGAATCAGAATCTTGGTAGGAAAATGTAAGGATTTAGTAAATATCTTTGCAAGTTACTGTTTATTCAACTCAATGGAGTCCATTTCTTGAAAAGGCCTAGAGAATTTTTTAATATTATACATTTAAGAATCCTGCCAAGTTATATTCAGGATTATATTCAGGAGTTGTTCAAGTGCTTGCTCGGATTTTTTCCCTATTGAATTTGTAGGATCCTGATAAAACTGATAGGAAGGACTTCATCAAGATTTCAATAGATTTTAGTGAAGATCTATTATGAACCAAGATACTAGGATCTTGTCAAGACTTATTTTTATATCACAGAAGTATGATTGCAGGAATAAAACAAGACTAGTTCAAATTCTCAACTAAGAAATTTTGTTAAAGTTCGATCAGGATCCTGAGCGGAACTATTCAAGAACAGACCTCTCGATTGCTTTAAAAAATTATAAGCATCATCATGATCTTGATAAGAAAAATACAACAACCAAGTTACGATCTTTCCAGATTTCTTTTTAGAGACTATTTAAAATTTA